ACCTATGGTCATGATCTTTGATCGCAGCTCTTAATACACCACAAAGACTTACTATATTAGTCACAATGACATGCACCAACAATTTGTCTTCATTTAAACTCTGATATGTTACCCATAATGTTGTGTGCATTGCAATACTTTAAGCAAAACTAGGGTATTACTCTGCTAATGAAACCTTCACACTCTGCTTGTACTGGTGGAGTGCTCAATGAATCAATGAAGATTGGCCACCAGGATGGTCAAATTTAGCTAAAAAACCTCCAACACAAACTTGGCCAGTGTTCACTGTCTTTGTCCGACCCCAGCATATTACAGTAATTATAGTTTTGAGTTGTTATTACGCAATGACGTCATCACCCAATGACATCATCACCCAATGACATCACAACATCATTTAGCAACTGTCTTGCAACTGTAAGGAACCAATTATCCTGCCTTTAGCAGTTTCTTCTGAATATTAGTTGGGAACGGTGAACTTCTAACTGTGAGAAAAGACGTACACTATGTGTCAACGCTCTTTCCTATGAGTCATGATCTTGCAGACTGGTAACGTAGATCCTTGCCTAATGTTCTGTCTTTTCTTCTTAGCATGCTATTACGACGACTGGCAACTTGGATTTGGATGAAACAATGAAGTTCTTTTTGCAAATTTAAAGGGTCACGAAACACCAAAACACATTTTTTGAGCTGTTGACAGTCGTATATGTGTCCCACACTGCTAAAAACACTATTAGGACACCTATATTTCACTAAAAAGTGTAAATTGGTTGTTTTTGCGTTATTTCAAGCAAATTTGTACTTCCTGTTTGAAACGAATTTTTGAAGCTGCGTCACGGCCATGAGATAATAGCGTGTATTCCAGCGTGCAGACTGGACGTCTGTGCCTGAGTGAGTCTTATTACGTCTTACAGTGTGTTGCATTAATGCATGAGTAAGGCTTGGGTCAAACCAATCAGCTCGCTCTATTGTGCAACTTCATTAATATTCATTATTGTCACCGTGTTTACACCACAAAGACGCCACGTTGTGTTGGCAAAACAAGCGTGAAGTGTTGCTTTTATAGTTTGCTGCAGTTAAGTTTCGTTTTCATTTTCTCTCTGTGAGAGTTTATCTGGATCACGTGTGGATTACAGTGTACGCGACGCGCGACAACAATAACTTACGTGTCTAAGGAGGATTATTGTTTACCTGAGAGCTGTTCTCATCTGCAAACGCTGAAATCCGGATTTGCTTGTAGTATTCTCTTCATAAAGACGCGGCTCTAGTTGCTGGTGATTGTTCTGTCTCTACAGATTTGGTAAGTGAGCGACCAGTGCTCTTTGTTTATTCAGTTTGTTCGTATCAAATTAAGTTAACTATTGCACTGAGTGCAGAAATGTTAGCACCGCATTTTGTGACCGGAATAACACACGCGGCTTTCTGACACTACCTGCCGTGTGCATCTAAGTTTCCGGGAAATGCTGAGGTTTTTTTTTCTCTCATTCGCCGTGCGGTATCAAACATTGCATGAAAAATACACGCTTAGAGCAGATCCTCGAATCAAATATCTCGTTTGTCGCGAGAGGCATGAATGAATTCCCTGAATGAAAGAGCCAAACTGCAGTTAAAGTCCAACATTTAATAATTTGGCAAATAATTCGACTACAGATGTCCATGTAGGTTAAACACCATCACTTTCTCCTGTCTGTGTGGGTGTGTATTTTGACTCTAAAACTCGCGCGTGCACAAATAGACACTCCCACACCATCCCACTTTAGTTCCTCCGACACTCCCCCCTAAACAGAGCTGGACACGCCCACTTTTCTGACTTTTTCCAAAGTAGAGGTGTGAAAACACACTGCTGAAACGAGGGGGTTTCATGGCCCTTTAAACAGGAGCCAACTCTGCTACCCACACACTGAGTCAGTTACAATGCTTGCAGAGCAATATTTATATACGTCAACGCAATTAGTTTTTGTCTTTTAAAGACAATAAATGAAATATTTACAAAGCATTCATATGGTCATACTTTACAATTTAAGTCACAATAACTAATGCTGTTGTAAACTTAGCAAATATGGCGGCATGCGAGTAATGCTCAAAAAAACATAAGCTTTAATTGATCGCTGCCACGTTTCTGGCATTTCATGTTTTGTCTATATGTAGTTTCACATCTGTATGACTGTTCTGTAGAATATTTTAAATATTTGCTTAGTTCATCTATTAAAAGGCAAAGGAGCTAAACTGAGTCCCAATTTTAAAAATAAATAAATTAGCACAATTACTATGTAAACTAATAAAATGTGATGTCACAGAAAAAAAATCCTGTTAATTTTATAAAATGTATTTTTATATATAACAGAAACTGCAGTACGAGTAGCCTATGCTGACTTGAATGCTGTTAATTTAATAACAATTAAGTTTAAAAATCTGTTCTAAATCCTGTTTTGGTTATATTTGTTGTACAAGCTATTATATACAAGTAATTGTGCCATTATTCTTAGTGCCCTTATTGGGCCTTCTGCCCCTGTCCCACTGGTGGTCTGTGCACGCCACCAGTAACATACACTCACCATCACCGGCCACTTTATTAGGTACTTGTGTCAAGTTGGAGCCCCTTTTGCCTTCAGAACTGCCTTAATCCTTTGTGACATAGATTCAACTATACTGGAAATATTCCTTAAAGATTTTGGTCCATATTGACACCAATCATCACGCAGTTGCTTCAGATTACTACACCACCACCTGCCTGAACTGTTGATACAAGGCAGAATGGATCTCATCATACCGGGCAACAATTAGCCAATCTTCTACTGTCTATCATAGTGAGCCTGTACGAACTGTAGCCTCAGTTTCCTGTTTTTAGCTGACAGGAGTGGCACCCAGTGTGGTCTTCTGCTGCTGTTGCCCTTCCACCTCAAAGTTGTACGTGTTGTGTGTTCACAGATGCTCTTCTACATACTTCGGTGTAACGAGTGGTTATTAGAGTTACTGTTGCCTTTCTATCTGCTGGAACCAGTCTGGCCATTCTCCTCTGACTTCAACAAAGCATTTGCGCCCACAGAACTGCCACTCACTGCATATTTTCTTCTTCTGGACCATTCTCAGTAAACCCTAGAGATAGTTGTGTGTGAAAGTCCCAGTAGATCAGCAGTTTCTGAAATACTCAGACCAGCCCGTCCGGCACCAACAACCATGCACGTTCAAAGTCACTTAAGTGAAGTTTTTAAACTAATTTCGAGAGGAGCACGTGATATAATTGACTGCAGCTGGCCACCAATCTACACTCATTAGTTAGCCAATCAGATCTATCCTAACTCACTATAGGTAGCCTAGCTAGATATTACTCTTATCTTCGTTTTCCGAAGAAACCCCCCATCCACCCCCTTTCTCCTTCTTTTCTCCTTTACAAAAAAGGGGAGCTCTCGAGAACCACCTGATCTCGTACTCCCCTCACATGCTCTATGGACCTGGCGGGAGCCCTGGGCTCAACTATCTCTGAGCTCAGGGTTCTCTCCCGGGACAGCATGCCAAACCTGCTTACGGTTGTCAAGCAATATCTAAGTGTGAACTCTTGAAATCACCTTTCTTCCTCATTCTGATGCTCGATTTGAACTACAGCAGATAGTCTTGACGTGTGCATGCCTAAATGCATTAATTTGCTGTCATGTGATTGGCTGATTAAAAATGAATCGCGATAGCGAGCAGTTGGACAGGTGTACCTAATAAAGTGGTCTTTTGACTAAAGCAGAAGGTTTGTCTCGTTTGATATACCCTTCACTTTCTCTCTCTGTTAATATCCCTACTGCTAAACAAGTTAACAAAATACTTTTAAACTTTATTTGGAAAAATAAATCCCATAAACTTAAGAAAACAGTTCTAGTAAATAGTAGAAAAGAGGGCGGACTTGAAGTGATCGACTTTGAGGACATAGTAAACACTTTTAGAATAAGTTGGATTAAAAGATGCTTAAAAGACCCCAACTCTATTTGGTTTTTTATTCCAAACTCTATTTTCACAAAAATTGGAGGTCTTCCTTTTATTTTAAAATGTACCTATCTACCAAATAAATTGGGCTTCTCTCAATTTTTGATAAGTCCGGCAAATTTTTGTCTTATGAACAATTTATGTCTAATAATAATTTTCCATTACCTTTTAAAGAATTTAATGCTGTGCAAAAAGCAATTCCTTTAGGCCTAATTCAACTTATAAAATCTCCTTTAATGTTTAATGAAAATGTTATTAAAGACCCAGAGCTGATTTTAAATGGAATTAGTCTATTTGACAACAAATGTAATAATAAATATATTCGACAAATTTTTCAAAATAAAAAATATAATGTTCCTAAAGGCAAATTTTACTGGGCATTCTTCCTTGACACAACAGACTGGAAAAAGCCTGGCTATTACCTCATAAGTACTGCATTTCCAATAAAACAAAAGAGGTTCATTTCAAAATTCTTCATAAAATAGACCCAGTAAATGGTACTTTGGCAAAGTATTTGGAGATTGACAGTTCATGAACATTTTGTAAGAGTGAAGACAAAAAGCTGATTCACATATTTTTTCAATGTGAAAGCACAAAAACCTTTTGTAAAAACTTATATCTCCATAACCGCATTGGTTCTTCCAGACCCTTTCATCTTCAGGATGTCGTTTGTTATTATGGAGGTGGGGCTGATGTATCAGAGAATTACATTATTGACTTTTTTATTTTGTATGGAAAATATTTTATTCATAAACAAAAATTCTCCAGTTCGCAGCCTTCTTTTTCACATTTTTTATTAGAAATTGATGTTTTTATTAAATCTCTTAGATCAGTTAATAATAAGAAAAGTGATAGATTTTTAGTTTTTTATGATAAATATTTTGGAAACAGCACGGATACATAAGTCCTCCTTTCCTCTTGCTGTATTTGTGTTATGTATATGTTTAATCTTATTTATTTATTTATTTTTCTTTCTTTTTTTCTCTCTTTTGTTTCTCTTTTTATTTAATTTGTAATGTTTATATTATTTATCCTGATTTGATATTATCATTGTGTTCTTTTGTGTAAACTGAATTTGTATGTTTGTTATTGAAGTCAATAAAAAAAAAAATAATAAACTAATAAAGTGGCCGGTGAGTGTATAGCAAATCAACAAAGCCACAGACCGCCGGCCAGTGGAAAACGTCAGAGTAACTTTTGGACCTTCCGGCCCGCTATACCACTGTCGTATTCCAGGTGGTGTATTTAACTTTTTCCCACAAAGCGAGAAAGCTCTCATCACGGGTCAGATCACAGCAGCTTTATTTCGGTAAGAGGCGTTACCATCAAACGTTTGAAACACGAGGCTCTGATATATAAATACTGTCGGCGCCTGTTTCTGCAGACATTCAGTCGGTGCAGGCTAGAGAAAGTGGAAGATTAAGTTCCGAAGACCGTCAAAGGTAAGATATGCGTGCATTTATATTACACCTTGCAATTCAATATGAAGGTGTGCTGCAGAATTGACATTGTCTTAAACTGGCTTATATTTAAATCACGGTACCACTTAGAGTTTAGCGCATACTAAAATCTCTCTCTCTCTCTCTTTCTATATATATATATATATATATATATATATATATATATATATATATATATATATATATATATATATATATATATATATACACACACACACAGTTGAATCATTATTAAAATTATTATTAGAATTATTAGCTCCTCTGTTATTTTATCTTTTTCATTTTCAGTTTAATGGGAAGAAGATTTTTTTTAACTAATTTCTAAACATAATATTTTTAATATCTCATTTCTAATAACGGATTTATTCTATCTTTGCCATGATGACAGTACATAATATTTTACTAAATATTTTTCAAGAAACTTCTATACAGCTAACTTGGTTATATTTAAAAATTAACTAGGTTAATTAGGTTACATAGGCAGGTTTGGGTAATAATTAGGCAAGTTATTGTTTAACAGTGGTTTGTTCTGTTGACTTTTAAAAAATATATAGCTTAAAGGGGCTAATAATATTGACTTTATAATGGTGTTTAAAAAATTAAAAACTAATTTTATTCTAGTTGAAATAAAACAAATAAGACTTTCTTAAAAAGAAAAAATATCAGACATACTGTGAAAACTTCCTTGCTCTGATAAACATAATTTGGGAAATATTTAAAAAAGAAAAAAAATTCAAAGGGGGGCTAACAATTCTGATTTCAGCTGTATATGTGTATATAAATAAATAGTGTGTGCATATTTTTAGGATACACTTTTTAAGGTATACCGGAATGTGAACCATGTTGTTTGGCAGATGTTAACTTCATTAAACATTGACAGATTTTATGATATAGCATATTTGCTGCTTCACCAAAGTAACAATTAAATAATTGTCTACGCGAGTCCATGACTTAGGTTGCAGAGACCTTCACATAGTGTGATGGTAAAAATGAATTTTTATAATAAATAAATAAAATTATTATAAATAAAATTTATTATAAATATATTTACTCTAGTAAATTTTTGCAAGTGAAATATGTGGTGGATTTAAAACTATTCAGAGCTGATTTGAGTGCAAATTGTTAAGTCATTTACTCACAGAAATTATTATTTTTTCTTAAGAACTGATCACTAAAAAGGAAAGAAAAAAACATCTTTCATCCATTTTTTTATTATAATATGAGCAAAAGTGTAAACAAAGATTTTTTTCGACGCCACGATTTCCACAATTCATTCCGTTGTGGTGACCCCTGATTAATAAAGGACAGAAAAGCAGAAAAGAAAACGAATATTTATTCTAGTAAATATTTGTGAGGGAAATATGAGGTGAACATAAATATTTCAGAGCTGATTTGATTTTTAAAGCACTTTAATCAAAGAAAATGCTATATTAAGAACTGATCTACTGAAGAACTATTAAACAAAGATTCTTTCCCCGCCCTACTTTCCACTTTTAATGTCAATATTAGTACAGTGTAGTGCAAATATTACTACAGTAATATTTAACACATTGCTAGGGGCTTACTCACTGAGCCTTTGATGTGATTCAAGATCTCCTGATGGGAATTTGTTACCACAGTTACACTTAAGCTTGCCTTTGACGGTTGAGGAGAATAATGACACCCTGTGGCATACACTGTTTCTGTTATTGAGCATTACTGCATATTCTGACCGAGCCTGTAAACACATTTACTGCCCAAGGGAAGTGACTGGCATAAATTGCTTGAATAGTTTGCATGTGGATGCCTTATAAACATTTTATAGGCTTTTTTTGTAGTATCATTGCAGGTACTTGGATAATCCACCCAAAACAGATTTTTGTTTTCTAATTATTTACTCACTCAAGTGGTTCTGGATTTTTATGAATTATCATTTAAAATTATCATTTTCATAATTTAAACAGCTGACCACCGGAAAAACTCCCGATCATAGATATATGTATATACGTTTATACAACAGTTCTGTCTGGTTCTCGAATCTGATTGGCTGATAGCCGTGATATATTTAAGTAATATCAGCACCCGTACAGCCTCTTTACCCTTTGTGTATTACTCCGCCCACATACAGCCAGCAAAAAGCAGACACTACAGATCTAAAGTTTAAAAGATGCTTGCTCAGCTGTTTAACTGTCAGCTTATGATTTGAATTCAAAGTGGAAGAAAGTAGTTCCTCATACAAAAGGGTTTTTGAAACTCTGTGTTTGATTTTGTTTTTACAACGCGGGGTCTGTGCTGCGCGTTCTTATCAGCTGTGTTGTCGCGCGCATGCTTAAGAGCGGTGTTGTCGCGCGTCTACTGAAGGGCGGGACCGAGGGTGTGCCGCGTCAGCCACTTTTGATCATTTTGGCAGGGCACTTTCTATCCAGGACTAAAAAGGGCATGTGCACTGCACAGGTTGAGCCCTATGTGTGCACGTGCCTGTTGCTCATATATATATATATATGGTTGGCAGCGCAGTAGGTAGCGCTGTCGTCTCACAGCAAGAAGGTCGCTGGTTCAAGCCTCGGCTCGATCAGTTGGCTTTTTTGAGTGGAGTTTGAATGTTCTCCCTGCGTTCGCGTAAATTTCCTCCTGGTGCTCCGGTTTCCCCCACAGTACAAAGACATGCGGTACAGGTGAATTGGGTAGGCTAAATTGTCTGTAGTGTATGAGTGTGTGTGGATTTTTTCCAGAGATGGGTTGCGGCTGGAGGTGTGTCCGCTGCGTAAAAAAAACATGCTGGATAAGTTGGCGCTTCATTCCGATGTGGCGACCCTGGATTAATAAAAGGACTAAGCCGAAAATGAATGAATGAATATCTATGGCTCCGGATAGCCAGTCCTCCATTACACCTTGGTGCCACATGTTTGTATTAGTTTCATATCTTACAAATGCTAATTCTGTCACTGTTTTGGGACTGTTAAAGGGTATTAAATTATCCCCCATGATTCCTCTCTGTACCCTGTTTTCATACACAATTCACTTGATTTTTATGCTTTGTCTTTTTTTGTATGTTCTCACTGTTTTGTCCTCAGCTTTCACAGTCTTTATAACCTGTTTGTCTTTGTGTATGTTTGTTTAACAGTGCTCAAAAAGAAGCATAATGGATTTTCTCGACAGTTTTTCAACACTATTGTCAACCAGCACAGGAATGTATGTGTGCTGTCAGAGCAAGCCACCAACGTCCTATCAGCTGGTCGCCACGGAACAACAGAATCCTGAGAGGTTCAGTAAAGGTCTGAACATAAGCTTCATTCTCAATCAATTCTTTAAATGTCCCATGAAATTAAAATAATTTTAGATGTTAGTATCAGTATTGTTAGTTTTTGGATATCTATAAGCTAGTGTACTCCAAAACAATGACAAAACTCGCATTTAGAAGATATAAAACTGATACAAACATGGGTCCCACTTTATATTAAGTGGCCTTAACTAATATGTACTTACACAGGAATTAATAGTTTGTTACAATGTACTTATTGTGTAAATACATGTATTTACTGTGTACTTTTGCTTGATTAAATACATGTATGTAGTTACATCTGTAATTCACTTTTGTAATTACATTTGTAAATACACTGTTGACCATCCCTTACACCTTAACCCACCCTTAAACCTACCCATGCCACCAAACCTGTCCATAACCCAACCTCTATCCCAACTCAAGAGCACCACAAGTGTTCTCAAATACATTATAAACACAGTAAGTACATTGTATTTATTTTTTCATGTAAGTACATAGTAGTTAAGGACACTTAAAATAAAGTGAGACCCAAAATATGTAAAGCTTGTAGTTTCAAAGCAAAAATGCCAGAGTGAGCCCACTGTAAGTGTAGTTTGTCACTTCCGCCTAAATGGATCAACAGTTTTATTCACATCACCTCATACTAAAGTTTCTCTTCAAATCTTGACCAATCAAATGCTCTCTTAATATCTTATATGCCCCGCCCCTTTAAGACGCTTCTCATGTGTTTTTCATTTGATGCGCTTGAACTCAACCACTCTCACTGGCAGAGCTGTGATAAAACAAAACGCTATTGGCAGTTTTTTAAAAAAGGGGAGGAGGTACACTGTCCCACCCTGTCTTCGTGTTTCGGTTGAGATTACATCAAACATCGAACACTTCACGGGACCTTTAAATATATCTTTGCCTATATCCAGTACCGGGCTTCTCTTAAAAGAAGCTAAAACCGATGATTCGCCATGTATCACTGCAAATAAGCTTGCATTTTCTCCTTCAAGACAAGCGGCAGTATGTTTATATCCTGGCAGGATGGCGCCTAACATATTTCAGCCCAGTCTCATTTGAAAAACGTTTCTCTGCCTACATTTTTTTTTTTTTTACAAAATGTAAAATATGTTGCTCTGGGTACATTTCCTTAAACATTTCAGATGACAAATCCATTAGAGGGCACAGTCTACATTTTAGCAAATCTGAAATACATTATCGTACGTTTCATTGCACGTTTTAGATGACAAATCCACTAGAGGGCGCTGTCTACATTTTTGCAAATCTGAAACACATTAGTTATTGTACGTTTTGTTGCACGTTTTAGATGACAAATCCACAAGATGGCGCTGTCTATATTTTTGCAAATCTGAAATACATTATTGTACGTTTTGTTGGTTGTTTCAGATGACGAATCCACTAGAGGGCGCTGTCTACATTTTTAAAAATCTGAAATACGGTAGTTGTTGTACGTTTTGTTGCTAGTTTCTGATGGCAAGTCCACCAGAAGGTGCTGTCTACATTTTTTTGCAAATCTGAAATGCATTAGTTATTGTACGTTTTGTTGCACGTTTCAGATGACAAATCTACAAGAGGGCGCTGTCTATATTTTTTGCAAATCTAAAATACATTAGTTTTGTTGCACTAGAGGGGACTGTATACATTTTTGCAAATCTGAAATACATTAGTTATTGTATGTTTCATCGCACGTTTTAGATGACAAATCCACAAGAGGCGTCCTGTCTACATTTTTGAAAATCTGAAATACAGTAGTTATTGTATATTTTGTTGCACGTTTCATATGGCAAGTCCACTAGAGGGCGCTGTCTAGATTTTTGCAACATGTTTTGAACATGCAAACTCCACACAGAAAGGCCAACTGACCCAACCCAGGCTCGAACCAGCGACCTTCTTGCTGTGAGGCGACAGCACTACCTACTGCACCACTGCGTCAGTTTTGTTGCACATTTCAGATGAAAAATCCACTCATAGACTCATGTTAAAAATATCCAGGTTGTCACGATACTAAAATTTCACGCTAATATTTTAGCACTGTTGAGCAGGTTCTCAAACAGCGCTGATTTGCCATTGTGTTCACATGCTCAACAGAAATGACTATGATTGGCCATAAAGGTCATCAGTTCACCGAACTCACCGCTGTTTACTGAGTGTAAGCACAGCTACAGAGACATTGAAGCGTTTCCAAGTCACGTCGACCAGCTGGTTTGTCCATAAGCTGACTTACAAGCGATCTGCTGATGAAACGTGGCTTTAAAATGCTGCTTAAGAACGCACTCAAATGTTCGCAGGAAATGTACATTTTTTAAATTTATTTCAGTATCAATTGGTACCGAATTCCAGTGTCATGACAACCCTATAAAAAACTGATTTTAGTGTATAGTTTTGTTCTGATGGCAAGTTAAAGCTTTATATTTGCTGATGTTATTAGTGAATGGTATTATAATGTGTAAGGTTTTCATTGTACCCTATTTTAATGCTAGCAATACTATTTGTCTTTTCTTTTCCAGTCAAGGTGTATAGATTTGTGGATAATGAAAATAAGATCTGCATGGCGTTTTGCTTTAAGACAGGAAAGCACTCCGTTTTCCCTGTTATTACCCACAGTGATGAAGTCGATTTTAAGGTAAAGACTGGATTATAGTTCTTATTGGATGCTTTGTCAGGTGGTTTAATGCAGATTGAACATTTCTAATGAAGTATTCTTGTTCTTTCATGCACAGACTTTAACCTCAGATGAGATTGCTAAAGGAAAGGTTCACAAGTCATTTTTATTTAAACCGGGTGAGGGAAGCAACAGTCCATTTATGAGCTTGAAATCTGTGTATAAACCCGACAAGTACCTGTGTGTTGATCAAAATGAAAGGAGCAAAGTGACCCTCTATTCAGAAGACATGCCGGATTTTAAAATTGATGACCTCTGTAAGCACAAAGGTAATTTTGGTAAATATGTGCAACTGGAACGCTGATTATGAAACTTTTTGCATATGGTGTGGGGAAATTTGTACATTAAGATGATCATCCATCTATTGATTTTTTTTAATCCATAGAACTTCAAAGAACCAACTGCCAACCGCTAAGCAGGATCCTGGACCAGACAACCTCTTCTCGTGAGAAATCAGTGGAACCATCTAAGTGCTCTAACAGAAAAGGGTAACTATATTAGTAGGGTTTGCTTTTATACAGAGTAGCTCCATACGAGTGGAATATTGCTGTAAATATGTTGAGATATTCCAACTTCATTCAATTTTATTTGTATAGCACTTTTTTACAATAGTTGTTGTTTTAAAGCAGCTTTATAAAAGATGCATTATTGTGTTACAATCAAATTCGGAAAAGTTAAGGTTATTAGTTACCATAACTTTATTACTTACTAATCACTTTAACTAATTAATTAGCAACTAATGGCTTTTAACAGTTAAAGGTATTATATACACTCTCCGGCCACTTTATTAGGTACATCTAGGATGCCCTATTGCCTTCAGAACTGCCTTAATCCTTTATGGCATAGATTTAACAAGACACTGGAAATATTCCTTAGAGATTCTGGTCCATATTGACATGATAGCATCGCACAGTTGCTGCACACACTGGCACCTGGTGTGGTCTTCTGCTGCTTTAGCCCATCTGCCTCAAGGTTGGATGTTTTGTGGGTTCAGAGATGCTCTTTTGCATACTTCGGAGTAACGAGTGGTTATTTGAGTTACTGTTACCTTTTTATCAGCTGGAACCAGTCTGGCCATTCTCCTCTGACCTCTCGAATCAACAAGGCATTTGCGCCCACAGAGCTGCCGCTAAAAAAAATGATGATTTACTGATTGTAAATCAAACTAAACGTTTACTATTTAAGGTCTGTTAGAATTTCCTTAATGATTTACATTTGTTAAATGCCAGAATAATGAGAGAATTTTTTGAGAGAGTTTTTTTATTTATTTCTAGACAGTCAAAAGTTTACACACATTTCCTTGTTTTTTTTTTTAGCTTTGCTTTTAAACTGTATAACTTTGGTCAAATGTTTTGGGTATCCTTCAACAAGCTTCTCACAATAGTTTGAAGGAATTTTGGCCCATTCCACCTTACAGAATTAGTGTAACGGAGTCAGATTTGTTGGCTGTCTTGCTCGCACAAACTTTTTCAGCTCTGCCCACAAATTTTCTATAGGATTGAGGTCAGGGCTTTGTGATGGCCACTCTAAAACATTCACTCTGTTATCCTTAAGCACATTTTAACTAATTTGGCAGTATGCTTAGGGTCATGGTCTGTTTGGAAGACCCATTTGTGGCCAAGTAATTTCCTGGCTGATGTCTTGAGATGTTGCTTCAGTATTTCTACACAATGTTCTTTCTCCATGATGCCATCTATGCTGTGAAGTGGACCAGTCCCTCTTGCAGCCAAACAGCCCCACAACATAATGCTGCAGCCCCCATACTTCACAGTTGGGTTGGTGTTTATAGGCTTGTAAGCTTTTCCCTTTGTCCTCCAAATGTATCACTGGTCATTATGGCCAAACAGTTCAATCTTAGTTCCATCAGACCACAGGACATGTCTCCAAAAATTATTCTTTATCCCAGTGTCATTTAACAAATTGTAATCAGGCTTTGTTTGATGATTCTGGCTTGTTGATTTTCCCATGTTGTCACACAGGGAAGCAGTGTGTTTGAGGTTTTCCTTAAATACCATTCTACAGTTGTGCCTCTGATTACGCAAATGTTGTCAATGAGCCAATCAGAAACTTAAAAAACCTTGACACCATCATCTGAGCTTTTTCAGAGGCATAATAATCTTATTGTATGTAAACTTGAATTTCAAGAAAATTAATAACAATTTCTCAGAAAATATATCTCTCATTATTCTGCTATTAAGCATAACAGAAACGAATTTGATAATCCTAACTTACCTAGAAGAGAAAACGTTTAGTCACGATAGCATCTGACTTTTTTTAATGGTTATGTGCCTTTTTATACAGTGTATGTACACTTCTGGTTTCAACTGTATGTATGTGTGTGTATGTATGTATTCACATCAGAAGAGTTTATACGCAGTATTTGTTGAATTAACTCGGATTTTCAGTCAACAAATGGTCATTTTCTGCAATTAGTGTTCTTAATGTTCTAAATACCAGTGTAGTTATTTAAAATAAGTTGAATTGTTTTCACAATTTTACTAAAATATACAACATTTTTTTTTTTTAAAGCAAGAGGATGAAGTTTTCATTGAAGAGCTGTGTCTCTTTTTGTCGCTGAACATTGTCTTCAACAGAAGGCTGTAATCTGCCTACATCATTTTTTTTCCTTGAGAAAAAAGGAAACCTGGACACTGACAATATATGTGGTATCTGAAACAGGAGCATCATTTATATTCTTACTGTAAAACAACCTGCATATTAAAGTTTTTTCACAATGAAAGTGTACTTATTTTAAAGAAAACTTATCAAATCAATTCATAAAACATCCCTTTAACATGGTATTCTCAAGTGCTTGAATCATAACTGCTTAAGCAATTTCCTGACACTTTTGATTATGCTGAACTTTGACCTCTGACTGTATTGTTTTATTACAAAAGGCTGGGATGAGGTTGCAATAGTTCACCAAAGTAAATAGACACTTTTTAATAACCATATAACTGCAAAAAGGATATTTTCTTTCATGTTCTATATTTTATTTTAACAGGAAATTGTCATTAGGTCTGCACAATATATCGTTTCAGCATTGATGTATGTGCAATGTGATCATTCACAATAGTCATATCGCACGATCTGCATTGTCGAGTTCAGCTTCAGTTTATTCATCCCTCAGGAAATTTAAGTGCAATTATAGCTGATCAAGTACCATATTATTGAGCGATACTGAAGTTTAACCTTATTAGAGTGAAATAGTGCTTGTTTGCTTTGTTTTTAAGGCCTACGACAGTATGATTTCAAGTGCATTTAAATAATTTGTGTACAAGAAATTATAACTATTTAGCTTTTTTTAAATTAATTAACTTATACAGTTATACTCCCAAAAAGAAATCTGGACTAAAAAATCATCCCAATCAATATAAAATACTACAATAAGGCACAAGACGTGATTGTTGCGTGGTTTGTTGCTATTTTCAGACCAGCGCAACCTAAATTTTCTAGTTTTGCACCACGTTGTTTAAGTAGCAAATTCGTTTGAGCTGCTTTGTGCACTCATGGGTTTCTAGAAAGGAGGTGTGTTAAGGCACATTGTTGGTGAGTTGGTACTGTATTTTGAGGAACTCAAATAGATTGCGCAAATGACCAGCTGAAAGTTGTGCATCTTAAACACGTACACGTTGCTTAATATACATAGAATGTACAGCAATACACAAATATCTTTACAAATGAAAAATAATTAAAGGATTAAATTGTTACAAAAACGATTGTTTTCTACATAAATATAAAAACCACTGGCTCCATCTCGGGGGGCTTTTTTAGTTTATTCATGAAAATATGCATTTGTTATAATGTTGTTATTATTATTATTAGTATTATTATTTATTATATGCACATTTATATATGTTTTAATAAAAAAAAAAAAACAAGTTTAGATTTGTCCACCTGTCTGGTTTTGGAAACGTTTGCATCACCATATGCGGCATAAGAATAGGATGTGTGTTTTTTGACCACCTTCATTGTTGTTTATTAATTTGCTGGAAATTAGAACTGCATTTAGAAATAGTTTTGAAACAAATCTTTGTGCTTAACAAACTAAATTAAATATGTAGGCTAATGGATGTCTTCAGTGGAGTACGTACAACAGCGTTTCAGTTTAGAGGCCAAATAGAGGAGGCTCATTCTTTCTCCTCATGCTGCACATGGTCTGTTTAACTGTTTTCTTGCTAGTGAAGCGTTCAGTTTTTCCACTTACAAAGTCCGCCAAATAAATAGCAAATGCACTGTGGCGTGATGCAACTGACTCTTAAGCCGCCTTTCCACTGCACACGACATTTGGATAGGACTGTCAGAATACCCCCCTTGTGGCAGTCACACAGAATGTTTTTAGTGTTGTCAAGCACCATGGGAGAGAAGCTGATTCTAGTGGTGTCTAAAATAAAGGAGTGCAAAAAGAGCCTTTATTCTCCGTGTGTTCAATAATCTTTGAATGAATGAATGAATGAATACTAGAAACTCATAGACCACTAAAAATTTTAGACGGAATTTGGAGACAACAAATACATTTATAATTTTTATTACTCGTTTATGAATCCAAATGTTTTTTTTTTTTTTAATATAGACTTTTTTTCTGAATCAAAAAATAATGAAAAAATATCCTATTTCACATCTCACGCACGGACCTGCTTGGACAACACTGGAATACATCAAATCCGGTCGTCTGGTCGCATACGGTCTAGTCGCAGGATTTCAAATATTTCAATGTGTCCGCAGCTCAAATCAGATCTGAATTTTCCGCATAAGAAGATGATGGGAAGTCCCGGATTACTCTCTATTGGAAATGATTGACTTCCGGACTGTCGCTTGTCATATGCAGTGGAAAGGCGGCTTTAAAAGGAATGGGAGATGAATGGTTTAATTCACGTAATGCTCAAAACACACCCATAACTCATTAGGAGTATAAGCACAACCCTGTTTGACCATGCGCCAGGGAGCAAACCATATTTTCAGACACACCCTCAATGCTTTTGCAACATGCACTTTAGACTTAAAGCCCTATGAGTTTATTCCAAGTTGACCTTTTTAGTCATCTGGTGAAATAATTATATTCATATCGCAGAAAAACTAAATATCACAATGTCCGATTTTTCCAATATCATGCAGCCTTAATTGTCACATTGTCAAATTATGATCGCCCTTTACTTCTTTCTAAAAAAGTTTGCGTTGTTGTTTTTTTCTTCTCTTAAACACTAAAGAAGATACTTTAAAGAAAGATAAAAACCTGTAACCATTGACTTCCACAGTATTTGTGATCCCTACTATGAAAGTCAGTGGTTACAGGTTTCGGCTTTCTTCAGAATACCTTCTTTAGTGTTCAACAGAATAAACTGACTGTTTTGGGAAAAGTAAAGGTTGAGCAAATTTTGGAAAGAACTGTCCCTTTAACCTCATGTCAGCACTGAGCAATAATACAGTAAGCAGTGCAGCCTAAATGTGCAGGAATGGCGTAATCAGTTATGAAACACAGTTTAAGCAATGCATGAAATGAGAGTAAATGATTACAGTAATTTACATCACTGCTGAATGAATCAGCCGTTTGAGCGAATCCCATGAACATTACTGTGGGAGTTAAGGTGTGGGTTATTTTGGGTTGTGATGAAAGAAATATGAATTTAAAAATGCATTATATTTGTGTATATTTATTCTCTTATTAAGTCTGGCTGTAAAGGCAAGACTATGTATTTCTTTTTTAGTGGTTGATTATTTTTCTAATAACAACAATAACATGCAAGATCTATTTTTTATGAATATGTCTATTAAATGTATGTCTATACCACTATTTTTTGATCGTATGTACTGGTTAACAAATGGGCAAATGCCTGAGAAATGCCTCACAGCAAGAAGTTTGCTGGTTTGAGTCCCAGCTAGACCAGTTAACATTTCTATGTGGAGTTTGCATGTTCTCCCTGTGTTGGTGTGGGTTTTCTCCGGGTGCTCTGGATTCCTTCACTGTCCAAAGACTTGTGGTACAGGTGAATTGGATAAAAAATTATTGCTGTAGTGTATGAGTGTGTGTGAATATGAGTGTGTATGGATGTTTCCTGGTACTGGGTTGTAGCTGGAAGGGCATCAGCTGTGTAAACATAAGCTGGAATAGTTGGCGGTTCATCCCACTGAAGGAAAATGAATGGCTGACAAATTTAGTGATTATAAAAAGAGCTCTCTTTGTGTGATTCAGTCACAAATGTACATTTATTTTGTCTCAAGGCTGTGTGTGAATTTTCTTTCAGCCTTTTCCATGTGTAAAATACCTTCCACAGCTATGCAACTGAATAAATGACGTAGAGATTTATTCAATAGGCATTTTACAAGCATCTGCTGCCAGTTTCATTTGATTATTTATAATAAAAATCAATTATGTATTTATTATTTACTCTCAATTTTACTAAGAAAATACCAAGAAGTTTCTCAGATTTTCTTTTATTATTATAGTTTATATTAAGCTACTGTAACCTATGGCTATTGGTTTTAAATGCTGTATTTTATGTTTAATCAAATAAATGTCATGTATGTTATATATTGTAGAAAGCTCTAAAGCAAAAAAAAGTCTTTTTTTTTCTATATGAAGTTTTTTGTCATTTTACAAAATAAAGGCTTTGAACCGTCTTTTGTTGGTCATTTTTATTTAACTGATGGTTTAAAGATGGTAAGATATAGAAACAACAGCAAAGAAATTAATTTACTTTAAACTCATTAAAAGTGACAGTAAAACATTTATAATGTTTGTTTATATACATTTATACATCATATTTCTTTGAAACAAAGTTTTAAAAGGTGCTTTATATATATATATATATATATATATATATATATATATATATATATATATATATATACACACACACACACACACACACACACACACACACAACAATACAGTTGAAGTCTGTTTTCCCCAATTTCTGTTTAACGGGGAGATTTTCTCAACACATTTCTAAACATATTAGTTTTAATAACTCATTTCTAATAACTGATTTATTTTCTTTATCATGATTACAGTCAATCATATTTGACTAGATATTTTTCAAGACACCTCTATACAGCTTAAAGTGACATTTAAAGGCTTAACTAGGTTAATTAGGTTAACTAGGCAGGTTAGGGTAATTAGGCAAGTTATTGTATAATGATGGTTTGTTCTGTAGACGATCTAAATTGATTTGTTATGTAGACTATCTAAATAATATATAGCTTAAAGGGGCAAATCATTTTGAGGGTTTTAAAAAAAATTAAAAACTGCCTTTATTCTAGCCGGAATAAAACAAATGACTTTCTCTATAAGAAAAAATATTATCAGAGATATCCCTACTGTGAAAATTTCCTTGCTCTGTTAAACATCATCTGAGAAGAGGGGCTAATAATTCTGACTATATATATATATATATATATATATAATTATAGTTACATAACAACTGAAAGGTTATTGTTACATTTTTAACTATAGGCTATTGCGGTTGTTTTATCAAAAGTGTTGTATGTACAGTACAAAACATTTGCCTGAGATTTTTGTCACTCGCGGCGACTTCATCCCTGGCAGCCGTCACGTTTTTTGAAGACTTTTTAGACGCCATGATCGAACACTCGATGAATCAGGAAAAGTCAGCAAAAACACCCAATAAGTTACGAAAATAAATGAAATCTTACTTCCAACTAATAAGAATAAATCCAATATACAAATGATAGTTATTTAATAGAATAAATACACGAAAGATGGAGTTATTTTCCA